CTCTCTGTTCAGAAAGCAGTAACTTGGCATCTCGTTCCTGTGGGGCTCATTCACCCTACAGTGAATGTGTGTTATAGTCGGTGTGGGTGAAATGGAGGTTTAGAATTGAACTCCATGCCTGTAAATGTTTCCCCAATCATTGTGTGCATATAATACCTGTATAATAAAAGTATTCTGGATAGAATCTGTGGAAGTCTGGTTTTAACTTGATTTTTTTTTCCCCCTGAGTCTCTAGGATGAGTGGAAGAGTGCATAGCTAATTTATGACTTGACTGTGGCTTAATAATATAATAGACTGAGCAAAAAAGCTGTGTCTGTCGGGGAGGAATCTTGAGTTTTGTTTTCTCTCCCTAGTGAGACTTCTCAGCTGCCTCGGGTCTTAGCACTAACACCAAGGTCTCGATAGCAGATAGCAGATGGCACCGTTCTCCCCACTCCGGTGACAGGAAGTGTGTGAGGGATAGTTTATTGATTTTGAGAGACATAGGCTAACTCTCTCTCCCCCCCACCCTTTGGTTTGGTGCTGGGGATGGAAGCCAGGGAGGCAGGCGTGCTGAGCACATGCTCTACCACTGGCCACACACCCCCAGCCCAGGGCAGAGGTTTCCAGAACAGCAGTTCCTAAGGATGGGTGCCTTCCTGCCCTGCGCTCAGCACGCTGGATGCTGGTCAGGAGGGGACATGAGCTCACAGGTATTCCCTGGGCAGATGTGGCTTAGAGGACTTGGCGTTCAGCCAAATGCAAGCAATGGAGGTGTAGCAATGGAGGTGTCGTGTGTCAATGTTTTCAATGAATCCAAATTCTCCATCTTTGGGAATGTGGCCCTCTGCCCAGGGCATCCTAGTCGTTTTTTTTTGCCTGTGGGGCAAACCAGAGACTGGGTCTTTATGCTTCTTGGGGAGTGGAGGAGTCTGGCAGGGTTGTGTCCTCCCTGGGTGTTTGCAGAGGTCTTAGATGCACACTGCTGGCACTCAACTTCAAGGTGAAGTGGCCTGGCGGATCTGCCAGGAAGTGATATGTTTGTGGTTTGGCATGTGTGGCCAGGCTTCAAAGGAAGTGGGAGCAAAAGGATTTTCCACATTGGATAAGGCCTTGCTGCAACCCCAGGCTCATCCCCCTTCACTTGGAATTCTCCACCGCGCGCGCTCAGCCCTTCCACTTGGTGTTGGCAGTGATTATTATTAAGTAATTTAAGCTCTGCCAACCCAGTACTTTCTCTTGGCAGCTTGTCCTTGGCCACCGAATGTTCCCATTATGTTGGTTTTATCTGGTTGATATGTCAGGATCACAATTGCTCTCCTTTAGAGCAGCAAAAAGAGGTCTTAGGTGAGTAGTTATTTCTCAATCAAGGCTTAAGACATTGGGTGTTAAAGGAAGTCACGGGGCAAAGGGCTCAAGGAATAAGGGCTGTTCTCTTACCTGCAAGCTTGCGTTTGAACTGCAGGCAAGATTTTAGGAGCTGCTGAACAGTGTTCTGGAAACCCCCCAGTCAACCTGGGATGGAAGAGCTGTCATCAGGAACCCTGTGCCTGGCTCTGAGCTGGCTTCTCCCCGATCTTGGTTGTCATTGGTGGCAGGTGGCCGCCAGGCTCCCTGGGAATGGTGCACAGCAATAACAGGTTTTTCTGCCTAACATCTCTGAGATGGTGCCATGGAAAACAGAACAGAGTACCCTATTGACCACTGGATGCTTGTGTCCCTGCAGTAAGCTCAGGCTTGCCCTCTGGCATTTGGTTGCTGGACCTTGTCCCTCTGGGCCAGGGTAGGCTCTGTTGCAAGCCCTGTGTGAGCACAGATGTTCTCCCCTCTCTTCCCTTGTCCCCGACCCATGGCTGCACCCTGGCTTGCTTTCTATTAAGGTACTTGATGTCACCGCCCTCTGGGGAGGAAACAGGGGGCTTCCTTTTCCTCGGTTGCACGGCAGAAAACCCTGTCAGTTGTCTAAGGCACATCTTCGGGCTGGAGACTTGGCATTCAGGGACCTAGTGCCTCAGAGGTGTCGTCTTGCCCTGCAGATGGCACACCTATAGGTTCTCAGGAAGGTCAGAGAGTGTTTTGTGTGTGTGTGTGTGTGTGTGTGTGTGTGTGTGTGTGTTTTAGTCTGTTCATTTGAAATGATTTCATAACAGTGACTGTCATGGTCTTTTGTGAGTCTAGCCCAGGGTGAGCTCTGAGACCCAGAGTTCCTGGACTTGAATGTTGAAAACCATAGTGAAACAGGGTAGGGTAGGGTCAGGGGCCAGGAGGAATTTCCACGGGGCTTGGTAGAGGTTGGCTTTGGGGAACCCATTCCTGGTTCCCCGGGGAAACGCGGCTGTCACTTTGCTGCAGAAGTTGCTGTCATTTCCAGGTGTTTCTCTAGTCTCCTCCCCTTTGCAGGTGGGTAGAGTGGTCTCAGGAGGTGGCAGGTACATTTCCTGCCTTTAGAAGCAGGAGGAGGACCTGGCCCAGAGGGGAAGGACAGACTGTGGTTCTCCACAGTAGGCCCTGCGTGGTGGCCCCCTTAATGAAGTTGTCTCTGGTCCTCAAGGCCCAGGGGTGGCCTGGGCTGTCCCCTAGTTGGAGATAGAGGAAGGTCCGCTTTTCACACCTAGCTGCTGCAACAGGTGGATGTGTCCTCGCGGAGCAGGTGATGACTTGCCTCTCCCAGGTCTTTGTATACCTGGGGTTTCTCTTCTAGGTGACAATCCTCATTTGCTCCTTTGAAATCTGCAGATCATCTCCCTTGGAGCCTTGGGGACACTTGGAGTCATCAAAACCTGATTGCCTTCCTGGTTTTGCCAGCCTGGGCTGGCCTTGTGCCCAAGGTCCATTCTGATGCAAGACACCTCTTGAGAGTGTCTGTCCACCAGTAAGGGCGAACACCATCTTCTGAAACTTGACCTTATTGTTGGAGAATTACTTTCACAGCAGAGCCCCTGTTGCATGGAATGCTCAATCGTTTTTGGCACTGTCAGAAGCACTGTGATTTCCTTGCTGCTTTTAGATAACATCTCCATGGGGGAGATGGGAGGAAGAAAAGTGTGGAAACTGAGTTGAAAAGGTCCACTTCCAGGGCGGCTTTGTTAGAATATTTACAAGGTTGTGTCTGTCTGTCTCAGTGTTTTGCTTTTTTTTTTTTTTTTTCCTTTAAGACCCGTGGTGTTGATTGGCTTCTCAGCTTTTTCCCAGGAGAACTCTCAGCCCTAGGAGCAGCCTCGTGAGTGAGCAGAGCTGAGAGGGTTGAGGTGTGTTGGCATCTGGCCTTTGCTGAGGCTTGAAGGCCTTTGGGATTCGACGGGCGTTATGGGTTGTGTTGTGTTCCCCAAAAGGCATGTTAAAGTCCTAACCCCCAGTGCCTCAGAGTGTGACCTTGGCAATCAGTATTGTTGCAGGTCAGTAAGTCGAGGTCATCCTGGAGTAGGGTGTCCCTGATCCAAAGGCTCTTGTCCTTACAAGAAGAGGCAACAGACCCACAAGGGGAGCACCACGTCAGGACAGAAGCAGGCTGGGGGGTGCAGCTCAAGCTGAGGGACGTGGAGATGTGCCCCCGCCAGAGCTGGCAGAGGTGAGAAGCCCCCTCCCCTAGGGCTTTTGGGGGGTGCCCGCCCCTGTGCACACCTCGACTTTGGATTCTGACCGCTAGAACTGTGAGACAGTGCCTTTCTGCTGTTTCGAGCCATGCGGTTTGTGGCACTGTGTC